ACACTGCACTGACTTCCTTGGAGGGTGTCCAAATTAATCATGGGCTGGATCACATGGCATTCAAGGAGAGGCTGGGAGAAATGGGTTTGTTCACCCATACAGAAGAGAAGGCTGAGGGGAACCTGATTTCTGTGTATAACTAGCTGATGAGATGAAGATACAGAGCAGATAGAGCCTTCCTGGAGGTGTGCAGCAATAAGATGAAAGGCAACAGACACTAATTGGAACATCCTAAGTTCTCACTGAATAGAAGGGAATTTGGTTTTTTGTTTTGCTTTGTTTTGTTTGGTTATATACTTGAAACATCCACAGAGTTTGTGAGATTTGGTGACTTCCAGAAATCCCTCCTGGATTAATAATAAATTATTCTATGATTTTGTGTTTTATTAATTCTGTAGTCCAACACAAATTTATAGTAATTTTTATTTTATTTTTTTAGTAATTTTTTTAAATTGCTCTTGTTTGTGCAGGGATAAAGAATGGAATCAAAGAACATCACCACCACTGTGACAGAATTTGTCCTGTTGGGCCTGACACAGAGCCACAAGGTGCAGTATTTTCTCTATGTGATCTTCTTTCTCATCTATGTGATGACCTGGCTGCTGAACTTCACCATCATGGCCACTGTGGCTGTGGACCGCCACCTCCACACCCCCATGTACTTTCTCCTGGCCAACCTCGCCTTCCTTGACATCAGTGACTCCTCAGTCAACACTCCCAAGCTGCTGTCAGGCCTCCTCACCCAGCACAAAGTCATCTCCTTCCACCAGTGTTTCCTCCAGATGTTCTTCTTCCATTTCATTGCAGGTGCAATGGCATTTCTGCTCCTGGCCATGATGGTGGATCGCTACGTGGCCATCTGTGAGCCCCTGCGCTACCTGTGCATCATGAGCTGGAGCACCTGCACAGGCCTGGTGGCAGCTGCGTGGCTGGGTGGGTTTCTCCATTCCATCACACAAACCGGCCTTCTCCTCCAGCTGCCATTCTGTGGCCCAAATGTACTGGACAATTTCTACTGTGACATCCCCCAGGTCATCAAACTGGCCTGCACTGACACTCGCGTGGCTGAGCTGCAGATGGTGTTTAACAGTGGAATGATCCTCATCAGCCTTTTTGTGATCTTGATTATTTCTTACATTGTCATCTTGCTGAAGATAAGGACGTGCATCACGGAAGGGAAGATAAAAGCTCTGTCCACCTGTGGAACACAGATAACTGTTGTGAGCTTAATATTCATCCCCTGCATCCTCACCTATGCCCAGCCTTATAAGAAATCCCCTGGGGACAAGGTGGCCTCTGTTGTTTTCACTGTGGTCACCCCAATGCTAAACCAAATGATCTACACACTCAGAAACACTGAGATGAAAAAGGCCATCAGGAGAACGCTGGGGAAAATATTTCTGTCAGCAGGAAAGCAGAAACTGGAGCGGACAGCAGATCCAAAGTTATCAAATGTGATGCTCCCATGACAAAACTGTGCTCATCACTGATATTCCTGTGTAAAAGAATGTGGGGTGCCCCTGACTCTGGGAATGATTGGTGTCTGACTCTATTGATTCAGAATGCTGAACAATTGCTTTAATAGACTATACTATATTACACTGGATAAAGTTTTCTTTGTCCCTTCAGTGT